AATTTGTGTATTATTTGTTTAGTAATTTCAATCTGGAAGGCTTGCTACCGAGAAAAGGCTACTCTAATACTCAAAATGAAGACTACACCATCCATCATTTTTAAGCAAAGAAAGATATACTTCCTGAAGTCTTTCTTCAAAAAAATGATGAGGTAACGTACCTTTACTATTGTTTATTTTATTGTTCCATATGGTTAATATTATGTATTTATTAGATTTATGATATAGTTTCAAATATAATTTATTTCATATAATAATGTGTATTTAGTATTACTTTACATTACTATATTTTAGTTTTCATATCTAAAAAATTTCCTAATTCATTACATAATATGAAATTAATTCAATACAGTCTTTATATTCTTCATTTAGGGAAAATTTTTAACATTCATGTTTGAAGAATTTGAAAAAAACTTTATTTTGTTTATAGTTTGTTGAATTTTAATTAAGTATATATTTGAATTTAGATCCTTTTCTAGGGACTCCTTTCTTTTGTGTAGCACAAACATGAATTTAATTCAGTTTGAATTAATTTTAATCTGTAGTGTAGCTAAAATATTGATTAACGTATCACATAAAAATCCTTTTTTTCTTATACTATTTGAATTCTAGAAATGTTTTCATCTTCCACTGATGGATCCACTTCTCTTTAATGTCCTGATGAAGTGTGGAAAAGAGTGTCGACAGTTTTCAAGGTTTGATATTATTTGAATTGAATTTTGTAATCCTAACTGGCGAAATGCTTTTCCTTTTATTGTACTTTTGATAATGTCATTTAAAGTGTAATCTACCATTGAAATTAAAGAAAACAAAATTGGACTAACAGTTACGATTACAGATTGATTTTAGTAACAATAAAATATTATTAATCTTTTGTAATTTAGGTGATAGGCTTGATAATCTTTAATAATGCTTAAAATTAAAATTGTTTATATTTACCAGATTACATTTTTAAATTAATTTATGCTACAATTTCTTTGCACTGTTGGTTTTCAGTATAAAATTGCCACCTTTTCTTATACAGGGTAGTCCACTAAGCGCGCCTTTCTCTCTGGCGGTCTTGCCGTTGAAATTGGAAGAATATGTTTCCAATAAAAAATGTTAAAATCATCCATCAGCGGAAATTAATTTCAGAGATGGCGGACTTCCGGATATACCGGAAAGCAATTACTAAATAACTCATACAGGGTGTTTCATTTAAAATAAGGCAGCTGATGTATACTTCCGGTATATCCTGAAGTCTGCCATCTCTGAAATTAATTTCTGCAGATGGATGATTTTAACAGGGACATTTTTTATTGGAAACATTTTCGTCCAATTTCAACGGCAAGACCGCCAGAAAGCAAGGCGCGCTTAATGGACCACCCTGTATACTGTATAAAGTTTTTTGAATTTTAATTAATTATATACTTCAATTTAGATCCTTTTTTAAGCAGCTTTTTCTTTGGTATAGCACAAAACATTTTAATTCAATTTGAATTAATTTAATCTACAGTGTAGCCAATATTGATTAACATGTGACATTAAAATCTCTCTTTCCTTAACTTTTTGGAAAATTTATGATGTAATAGATAATTTAACTTTAAATTTCTTCAGTTTTGAAAATTTATAACACTATATTTTTTCTTTAAACCCACAGAGAGAGGACAACTATGGAATTCTGGAAATATTTGTATCTTCCAGTGATGAGTCAACTTCCCTTTAATGTCCTGATGAAATTTGGGAAATGAGCATCAACAGTTTTCAAGATTTATTTCGTAGTCCTAGTGGATTTTGGAAATGAATGTTGATAGTTTTCAAGGTCTGATATTTCGTCTGAATTTTGTAACCGTAACTAGCTACATATTTTTCGTTTTACTATCCACTTGATAATTGTCATTTAAATTGCAATTTTTCTGTAAATTAAATGAATAGAAAACAAAATTTACAGTTACGATTACAGATTTACTTTCGCAATTACAAAATATAAACCATTTTTCCAATTTCTTCCCCTAGGTTAAGTTATAAATAAAGTATCAGAGCCAGTGGAGTGAAAGTTTTTATTTATTTATTGATTGATTGGTGTGGTATCAACAAATAAAAACTTTCATCCCATGGGCTCTGATTTTTCATTTGTAGTTCATTTTTGTTAATAATGACAAAACTTTTCCTCAAAATAAAAGATGTTCTGTTACTTATTTCAATATTATTTAAGATTTGCTATGTACCTAATAGTGAATTTTTATTAACTTCTTGATTAAATCTAAATTGACACTGAACCTCGTAGGATAAAGTAATGGTTATTTACAATAAACAGAAATCAGCTAAACTTTTCGATTATTTATTTATTTAATGAAATTATAATGAGAAGAAAACAAAAATCCATTAAATAGGTACTTAGTGTCTTTGCATTAAAATTTCATATAAAAACTGATATGTCTTGAAAATAATTGTTCAAAAATGTTTAAAGCTAAATTGTTGAAAATCCTTTAGGACACACTCTAGGCAATTCTCCTGCTTTGGCGATCACAAAACATTTATATTTGTACTTCCTTAATTTTTTGAACTACTTACGTTTTTCTTTATGTTAATAATAAAATGCAGAATATCGAAGACTCACTTTGTAACTTCAGTGTTTTTTATTTTAATTTCTATTTGAAGTACCAAACGAGCGATAATTTTTATTGAAAACATTCATTTGTTTGGTAATTAGTACAATATTCATGAACCTACTTGCAGTCGTTTTAGAATTAACAAATCAACTTTTGAATTTTATATAAACTCACAGAAGAATTAAAGACATGAAGTCCCCACACTAAAACTTTACTGTATTTCTTGCCTTTAAGTGTTTATTTAATTTTATATCTCATTCAATACCGTAGTTAATTAGTTTTTCTTGCCCGTTTCTATAGATTGGTCTACCAATGAGAAAGAATGGATGGTAAATTTCATGGTACTGAGCAACCAATGCCTACAATGCTATAGCTTTTCCTGGACTTCATTCTAGTTTTGATGTTGACTCTTCACCTTTTTTTCACCAATGAAGGTTGAACGGGATACTACTGAAACAACAAATTATCTGCAGTAGCATTGCTTTTCCAGGATTTTATTCACACCTGTAATCTTTGGAACATCGCAGTCTGTAGTTTCTTAAGGTGAGAATATATTACATAATTATTATTAATTGCTCTTTATTAATCTATTACCACCCCATCTGTTTCAGATCAACGGTGGAGAAGACAGAGAAGACCCCCCGTAGTTAGAACTTTTTTTTTTTATTTCAATCAAGATTTTATTTTGCATGTTTTTTTAATTTGAATTCATTTATTATTTTGCATGCTTATTTTAGTTCATTTTATTTGAATTAATTTTTGATCTTAGATGTTTTTATTTTTTGAGTAGGTATAGTAATACTAACAAGTTTTTAATTTTTTTTCAGTAGTTGTAGTGCAGTCTAACATGTCTCTTGCTTACCTCTTCGCTTAGCTTACTGCATATTCTTACTATAAATTGCTTTGCATTTACCCTACGAGTTCTACATGATTCAACGTTTCGTTATCGTGTGTGTTTCTTCTCACCCTTGTGGAATTAGGGAGGGCCTCCCCGAACGACTTCCCTTGGGCTTAGCTATTTAGTTGATCTTAAAAGTGTCTTATACACTTTTCGCGAGTCTACTCTAGCGTTACTTCCTTTCAGACAGGGTACAGTGGGTTATCTGGAATAGGAGCAATAGGCGACTGCCCAG